AAGTTACTTATTATAAAAGTTTGAAATTTCTGGTAGCTTTTTTTCTGTTAATAAAAATAAATTTAATCTGTTCGGTTAACGAATCTCCATAAAATGACGTGTAAAATTACAATTTTTTAAAATTTCAATAACTTTTTAACGGTTTAGTGAATCGATTTGTAATTTTTACAGGAGTTTTAGAATTGAATGAGGAACGTTCTTCTAAATTTTTATTTGTCTCGTAGCATTTTGACATACCTTCCAAACATCCTTAATAATAAATTATACTTGATTAGGATATTAGAAACAATAAAAAAACACAAAAAGAGCTTTGGGTCGTTCATAAAATACGTTCACAAATAAGGAGTAGAGAGGGATATTACTTAACGTAACGAGATATGACATTGGAGAAAGGAGGGTCTAAGGAAATGTGACAATCGTAGTTGCATTAATTTTATTTTAATGTTTTTCTTAACTTAGCAGTTCCTAAAATTTTTCGTTACGGTAGAAAGTTATTCTCATTGATTTTAATAACAAGAAATCGTTTATAGGGGGTGGGAGGTGGACTAGTTTTTGTAATTTGGTAGGGGGTTGCTGAATGTGTGACTGAAGGAGGAGAGATGGGTTTAAACAGGTGAAATTCTGAGTGATGTATTTTACAGACGACCCCTATAAAAAAATGTTTTCCTTAAGCGGGGGTGAGAGTGTTTTTATAGTGACCAGATATAACAAGGAGTAAGCGAGTCTCTAAGAAAACATGACATAACGACATAATTCATCAATTATATTTCAATTTTTTTTAACTCGTTTGTTTTTTTTATTTCATTTATTCGTTTTGTTATTATTTGTAAACTATTATTATTAATCATAATCAGTTTATAGGGGGGAATTTTATGCTTATGGCATTTTGCACAACTTTCTTTGATTGGACCCATATTTAACTGTGCTGTCATTTAAACGAAACCTTTCTTTTTCTATTTTCGAACACTCTGTATATTAAATTAAATTTGGATGCTAGTTTTGTTTGAAAAATTTTTAGATTAAACAATAATTTGGGCACGATGAGCATATTGCGTACTTTTTAGGCCACCCTGTAAGTAAATCACCACATTTTTTGCCATGCATATTAGATCATAAATCAGAGTTCTTTCATACAACTACTTTTCTATTTTAATCTTCTACCCCTTTTTGGTCTCCCAGTAATAAGTACAATATACTTTTTAAATATTTCTAATCTCGGGTCTCACCACTCTTTCTCTCGGTACAGAGCTCTCAAAAAAATATTTTAGATTACATTTCCCAAATAAGTAAAAAAAATGGTATCTATTATGTATTTAAACTTTACTAATTACATTTCAGGTTGAAATTGACGAAGAAAAAATAAAACAGAAAGTACAGAACGTTAAATAGGTTTACTTTATCAATAATGTTTTATAACACTTATTTTTTATATTAGTACATTTAAGGCTGATTTTATATATTGTAATGTACTATAATATACTAGTGTTCCAAAAATTTAGTGCCCTAATTGTTTACAAAATAGATACGTATTACAAAAATGTAAATAATTTATGCATTGTTCAGTTTTTTACTCTCTAAAGCATTTAAATAATGACTGTAGAAGCCTTTTCTTAAAGGGTCCAATATCAAAAGTTTTTTATAATTTTCAGTGAGTTCTTCTATTTGATCCTCATTCATGTTCTCCCCTTTTTTAATTCCATTAATCCAACACTTTGCTAAAAGGCACCCTAAAACAGTAAAAATTAATATTAATAATTACTTGAGGTTCATCATGCCCTGCAAAACGGGTCCCGTACTCTTTTGCAATAAGAAAAAGTATTAATAAATCCTTACATTTACTATCTGGTTCCAATTCGAGAAGTTGATCTAAAGTTTGGCTTAATTGCTTTCTATGTCCTTCAGTCATTTCTGGATTACTCAAAACCCAACGCAAATAAAACCATGCACTGCTATCAGCAGGATCAGTAAAAATAGCGTTCATTATTAAATTTATTTCTGATTCCAAACTGTCTTTGTCTAACTTCCTTAATGTGCTACGATAGTGCCAAGAGGAATAGTTTGAAAAGTTTACATTAATTCTTTCAGTTGAAAATTTAATTTCATCTTCCAAAGACATTCCAATTTTATTCAGTATGAGTCTTCTATAGTCCCAGCAATGAACTGTAGACAGAAAAGTTAATATACACCATGAAAAATAGTAATATTACCTTTTACAATTCCTATCATCCATAGTTAAATACTTGGTACAAAGCTCAAATTCATTTTGCCAATTAGGTTCTGGATGATGCTCCATAATCCAATATCTGTGATGCCAAGACCCATAGGACTTTGGATTAGCCAGTAGACACTGTTCAGTCAATCTAATTTCATTTTCCAGAAATTTAATTAACCCTTTTGTAACGTCTAAGCTTTCTTGTGATTTTTCATCACAAATTCCATTATCAATAATAGTATCTTTACATTCTGATTTACTGAAACATTGATGTACGTTACTTAAAATAGTAATGTTGCTAAGAAAATCACCTTTTATCTAGCTCTAAAAGGATCACTTCTTTTCTATAATTCCATAGGGTGTAAATATCAGGGTTTACAACTAGTAATTGTGCAGATATAGCAAAACTTTTTGGATCATAACTTGTGGGATTACGTGTGGATAATATCTGTTTCATTCCTGTTTGATAAGCAGTTAATTTCTTTTGTTGTTCCTTTTCTTTCAAGAGCCTTTGCTCTTCGGTTGTACGAACTTTCAATCTTCCATGCTAAAATATTATTATAAAATAAATTACACAGTTATTGGAAGTATAACAGTTATACCATTTTCAGTCTTAATCCTATAGGAAACGATATATACTAATCAATTATGTTAAAACACTAAAAAACATAAAAATTTGTAAAAGAACTCGTCATGCACAATAACAACATTTACAAGGTTATGTTGACTTGACAATCAGAGAGAACACAAAATACCTCTATAAGAAATTCATAGAAGTCAGGAACAGAATTCTTCCATTAACTGATGCTAATGTAATCTTATCAGCTTAAAACTATATTAAAATAAAAATACATAACTGGCTTTACAACACATATTAATATTAAAAAATAAACTCTTCAGTATTAAAGAAGTAAAATTCCTGTCATATGAATATTAACTTTTTATTATACTTCTATTTAAAAAAATTACAAAAATAAGCTGAATGTTCAAATTAGTATAATGAAGAAAAATTGAAATTCTATTACATTTAAATTTATTTTACTTAAACTTTAGTAATTATAACTGTAAATAAATAATACAACTATTTATTATAAAACAAACTTATTGAATAACTGTAATTAAGGAAAGATTAATTTTCCAAAAATGAGACAAAGTCTGTGAGTCTGTAAAGTTGATCCTCACTTGAATTTTGTCCAATAATAACAGTACTCGAACGTACAGGATGAACTATATTTGTATCAGCCTCAATTTGCCATCCTTTTTCCGAACAAGCTTTATTTGCAACATCAGACGTAAGTCCAGTCATATGGGCCACTGCATCCAGAGAAATTGAGGAATAAGCCCTTGTTATTAAATCCACTGCCCTCAAACGAGTAATCTCTGTAATAATGTAGCCCCTAGTTAGTAAAAACAGCTACTAATTAATTTGATGACAAGAACATATGAAATTTAAAATACCTTTTGATGTAATTCACAGCAATAGTTTTCCAAAACTGTGGCTTCATCAGATGATGGATAACAATGTTGTAAATTACAATAAAAGGATCTTGACTCTTTATTTTCGACAATTAGAAGCTTGTTCAAAGACATATTCAGATCATCATTCTCCAGATCAAAAATAAAAGACCATGTAAACTGTCGTTGAACAACCAATCATTGTCTAAACAGGACTTTATATTAAAAGCATCCACCATTAAAAATACTCATTACCTTGAACCTCTCTCATGATGTCAGCAACATTTTCACTCCATGTAACAGAATTTAATGCATTGTAAATTGCAGGAAAGTCTCGTTTCCACATTTGCTGACCTACAGCCCAAATACTAGCCAATTCGGGCGCAGCTGTCTTTACACTTGCCGGTATTCTCTTCCAAAGAAACTTTGCGTTACATCTAAAGTAAAGTAAATACATTAACAAGGAATTTGAATATTTTTAGCAATTCTTAACTTACAAATCATTTTGGCATAAATAAATTGCAAGTAATCTTTCGTAGACATGAGGAGAAGCTACACCATTTGGGGCCTAAAAACGACTTTCTATTGTTAGTGTAACTACCCTACTATCAATCTATGTATTTACCTCTAGTTCTTGTACTTCCAATTCCCCAGCAGCTTTATCCAGGTTAATGTTGATAACCATTTTATTATTTATTAAATAAATGGTTAAGTAAATAGCATATGAATATAACAACTAATGAACTAATAGAACTAACCTCAAATTAGTTGAGTTAGTAAAAACAACAACAACTATCTATGATTAGCTTATCTATGATCATAGACAAAAAAAATAAATGTAATATAGACATTCTATGACTGATGACCCTACCACAGATGGTTAGAGCCTACAGGAAGTTTTAAAGATCTTTGGGTTAACATAAGCTCTCTGGTTTTGTTTTAAATAGTGGTTCCACCTACAACATCAAATTTCTGTAGATGGCACTACAATAGTAATATGGGTGAAAGTAAAGTAAATGATTTTAAATAATAAATGCCTATTTTGTTAATTTATAAGGTAAGTACAACGAATATATTAGAGCAAAATATTATGATAAACAATGTACTTTAATTTTTAAAGTACGTTTACAATATTTGTAGCAGTTAAATACTCAAAACCATTTTTTAATTCAAATTAAGTAAAATGGTTTGTACTTAAAGGAAAACAGTCCATAGTTCAATAGATTTTATTTATTTAACGTAACTACGATATTTACACTATGTGTAAATTTCCTTTTTTGCAATATATTTAAGTCTCTTTTTGGAAATTAGGTGCGTGCTTAAAAATAACGCTCAGAATTCGCACAAACAAAAATTACCTAAGTGGGAACACAAGTCCACAAAATTTTCTTGGGTTATGGTTTTCTATTTATTTTATTTTTTCTTGGTTTGGACTTTAATTGTATTTTCGCCCAAGTGAGATTGGTAATTTATTAATTAATGTTACAGACTGAAACGTGAAAAAGTGCGGAGCAGAGGCAGACTTCTAGTAAGAGTAAGGGTAAGTTTTTTTATTTATAAACACATTCAATTCAATTACGAATAATCTGATTTGGTGAATTCATAAATTATGTGATTCAAAATCAAATAAGTACAAAATTATTTATTGGAAAAAGGTAACTCGGATTAAGTGTACACTAGTAGTGACAAAAAACAACATAAAATAAAATTTGACTTCGTAAAACATACTTAATTTTGAAATTCAATGACAATAGGAAAAATCTACGAATCTACCATGTCTTAATATTTTTTGAAGTTTGATACTTAACGATACGGTTTTTTTTTTGAAGATAAGTAAATTCCAAAATTGTTTCATCATCATTCATTAATTTTATGGATTGCGCATCATTAAAAAATTTGTTTTATGGCTAATTACTTGCAAATTAAAATGTCTACAATGTACGCTTGATCACAAAATGGCTTCCTCAAGTGAATGTGATAATCATATTGTGGCACAATGAATATTTTATGTATATTTTGGGTGATTTTCTTTAAGTTTATAATGATTTATGTTAATTATTAATTTAATGTTGAGGTGAGAAAGAAAACGCAGAATATTTTCGGACATTTTATTGCAGAAATCAAAGTATTACAGTTAACATACACACTTTGCGGAAATAAAGTTAAAATCTAAGCGAAAGAACTACAGCAAAGTAGTAGCGATTCAAAGGCAGGTTCGGATTAAAATTAAAACAAATGAGTATTTCGATTAAAGCTTAACTAAACGAAACATTTTGTATAATGGATACAAATACGTATATTATAAAATCTCAAATCAAAAAAGAAAAAACGGGGGCATTTATCAAATCTTAAATCTACGAATAAAAATTAAACTACAATAAACTAAATACTTACAAAAAAAATGAAAACAACCTATAAATTCATATACATATATAAACTCTTTCAACAAAAACTGGCTTTACATGGCAAGTTTATTTAAAATATAATAATAATAATAATAATGATATACTTATATGAATAATAGTTACTGACTATAATAATGTTACAATTACGCTTGTGTTGCGTTTATTATGACAAATTCATGCATTTGTCTAAAAACATTTTAATTATAATAATGGCTTGGTTGAACACAAATACATTTAATAAAAACAATTGACGGCAAAAATTGTTGGTGAACAGGTACACAAAAGGGGGGACATTGATATTACGTCATATAGCACCGGGTTGTAAAAGTTATAGAGACAACAAGTAATTACATTAATAACTTTTTATTTAGTCTCGACAACCGAAGTCTTTGATAGAGAGATCAGTGGATGATATTCGTTATTTTACTGTTAAATACGAATCTAGATAGTGGTTTCGGAGAGAGAATAAGGGGGTATGAGAAATTATTTACTTATGAATTGATAAAATTAAAAAATTATTGCAATTGAATATTTTAAGGTGGAAATATTATTTTAATTATCGATTTCACAATCGATAGTTTTCGAAAAATGTGTATAAAAAAATCGTGCTAAAAAATGCAGTGCGTTTATGAGAAACAGAAAGTCTCGAAAATCGGCATAAATATTGATCTGATGAAAATTAGCATTAGAATCTTAGAATATCTGTGGTGTTGAAAACTGACTTTCGATTTTATATGCATTTAATTTATAATTCCAGTATCTAATAACGATAAGTAAAAGAAGAAATAATTAACTATCAACCTAAAAATATTTATAAACTCGTAAAAGGTGTTTTTGAATAATTTTCGATTATTGATGTTTAATCAATAAGGAGAATAATGAAATTGAATTTTCAGTTAAGGCTAAAAGATCGGGAAAAACAGAATTAAACGAATTATGTATTATTTTATTAGATACCTACTATGATAGGTATTTCAAAACCTCATGAGCTTTATTGCATTCATAATGTGTATTACGAAAACAATGCCTTGATGTAACTGCACAAACAAGTGCAACCCAAGGTCAAAGTCCATGCGATTCTAAACTACCTCTACCATAGTTTGAGACATTACTGCAATCATAAAAAAGTTCAAAATACAACTGAATTTTTTATTTATTACCAACGGTATTCATCTTTTGTTTTTGCATATAATAAAGTTTAGACCCCCTGAAGCCTCTCGATAATTTTGTTAAAAAATATTCATAATTATCAAAAACCGTCTGTAACTGATCGACCGGAAGTTAAGTGCATCTACTGTAGCGACATATAAAAAGCATTTCTTTTCTAGACATCAAACTTTACAAATGAAACTTTGAATATCAAAAGTAGTTTTTCCCAACATTGTAAGTATACAATATCTATGAACTTTTACAGCAAATCTTTCTAGTTTAATTTTAAAAAAAGTTCAAATGAAAAAGCTGCACATCTACAGGTAATTAATTTATCTTTATATTAGACAACTACAAAGGACGGTGTATGAAAAAAGCAAGTGCACATGTACTTGTTAACATTTTTTTGTAGTAGTAACAGTAATAGTATTAATAGTAATAGTAGTACTTCAACTATTATAATGCCTAATATTAACCCCATTCAGGTAACTATAATTCAGTCCCATGTTTCATTCAAAGGCAATTTTGATTTTCGAAAGTAAAACTGAAGTGAAATGGCACTAACTTTTTTAGTAGACATAGTCCACCTAATATCAATAATTATTCCTTACTCAATTTATTTATCGAATTTATTAATTAAAAAATAATTTGAAATGGGAAAAATTTTTTTTGTAATCTGTTGAAGTGTTACTTATTTTTCGAAGATAAGATCTTCAAATAATAATAATTCACATTCTTCAATGAGCTTCATATATGTAATAATGATTTTAATATAGTTAAGAAGGGCCTCGTCATGTAGGTCATTACAACTGTTAAACAATAAGTCGACTTTCCTCGTAATACGAAACAAATTGTATTCTGATTTTCTTTAAACGGGAAGCAGGGTTGCTAATAATGCAGTACTTTTGAAATGAGTAATGGAAATACTTTCCATTAGCCATTTCTTTTATAATGCAAATAATTTACATTGGCTGTTGCTTTGTTCATGAGTAATATAAATATTTTCCATCAACAATTACATTTGCAATAAGTAATGGAAATAATTTCCATTATCGATTTCTTTTGTAATAAGTAATGGAAATATTTTCCATTATCGATTTCTTTTGTAATAAGTAATGGAAATATTTTCCATTATCGATTTCTTTTGTAATAAGTAATGGAAATATTTTCCATTAACTATTATTTTTGTAATGAGTAACGGAAATATTTTCCATTATCGATTTCTTTTGTAAAAGGAAATGCAAAAATTTACCTTAACCATTCCTTGTGTAACGAGTTATGTAAAACATTTACATTAAACATTTTATAATGTGTAATGTAAATAATTTACATTATCAATTACTTTGTTTATGAGTAATAGAAATATTTTCCATCAACAATTACTTTTGTAATGAAATTGTTTTTCATTAATTTACTTCTGTAATTAGTAATGTTAAAAATTTACATTAATCTTTTCTTTTGTAATGAGTAATGGAAATATTTTCCATTAACCATCGCCTTTGTAGTGAGTTATGTAAGAAGCTTACAAAACAACCACTATTTTAAAACATAAAACAGTCGTTAACGTAAATTTTTTACATTACCCATTACAAAGGTAATGGTTATTGGAAAAAGTTTCATCCACTCATTACATATAAGTAATGGATAGCGTATGATGTTTACATTACTCATTGTAAGTGTAAAAATTAATGGAAAATATTTCCATTATTCAATACAAAAGCAATGGTTAATGTAAATTTTTACATAACTTACTACATATACATAAGCAGTAGTAAAGTAATTTGTTTATTACTCATTACAAAGGTAATGGATAATGAAAATTATTTATATTAATATTTTCGTAACCCAGAAAGTATTTAATGGTTGAAATATTATGCAAAGGAATGATTATATTAGAAGTAATNACCTAATTATTTTTATTGATAACTCCACATAAAGAGGCTTTGAATAATTTCAAAAGAAATTGATAAGAGTTTGAAACGATCAAATTTTCAACAACCATTGAAGTAGTGACGTTAATATGTCGCAGTTATTTATATATTCTTTTATTATAAAGGGACAGTGAATCGCTTATTTTAAGGGTGCATAGTAAAACTTTAGGTGCTTAACTAGCAATCAGCGCAGTGTTTTGCACTGTTGCAAATGTCTACAGGTAATACATAACCGTGTAGGTAGGTATATTAACAATACAATAATAATAATAATTGTATTGAATATAGTGCTGGGGTCCAACAAAAACGGTTTACGTAAAGTAAACAAATAAAGTGTCAAAATTAATATGTATTTCGTTAAAGGTAACATTTTGGTAACTTTCGAATTGTACGTAAAATAAAAAATGTCGTATTAAAAATATATATATTATTATTCCATTTATATATTAAGAGATTTGTAAACAAATATTTAATTTGATTAAAAATATATACAGTGCCATGACTAGCTTTTATCAATTATAATTTCTGCCACACTTTTTTATTATTATTATTATCATTTTCGTAATTATTTTTCGTCTAGTGGTAACATTAATTCATCTTTTTTTTTATAGTTTTCTTATAATCATCATTTTCTTTATCATATATAGTATGTACATTTTTAGTACGGTATTATAAGGTATCTAGGATCACAATGAGTTTTAGGAATAATCCCAATTATGGCGTTCGCCTAAAGTATAAAAAAATTGTAAGGAGATAACTCAAAACGTAAACACACGTAAAACCAATACATTGTACTTACTTACTTATTATTATTATTATTATTTATGTGTAATAATCCTTAACAGGATAATTTTATTTATTGAACTTAGTATGGACGAATTCGGAATGATTGTTCCTTTCAGAAAGGACGATCTTAAACAAAAATTTTCGCCACTCCATATACAGATACATATACCGGTTAATCTTATTATTTTCCATTGTTGATAAGGAAAATGCTTTTTGCTTCTCATCACCACTCAATGTTTTTGTTCCTTGTTCTTAAAAAAAAAAATGGAACTACCTATCAACTGATAACTCATAAAAACTCATTCGTTTAAAAATAGTTTGCCGTTGTATGGAGTAGGATATTGGGTATTTGGCACATTATTTACAGATACGATATTTTCTGTTTTTTTTTAAGTCATTTAATTTGATGTTTTCATGCAATTGCCACAATGTCCCATGGTAACTTTCGATGGCAGTGAAACATATAAATAACCTACGTATGTAATACAGTCGAACCTGGGTAAGCGAGAATTGAAGAGGTCCGAATATTATTCTCACTCATAGAGTTTTCTCATAAAAATCGAACATAAACATGGCGCTAGAGTGTTGAGAAATAGGTAATACATTTGGCTATAAATAGGTACTTATTTTATTTATTTAAAGAAATCAGTGATTTTTTTCTGACTATCCTTTTACGTCAAACGTACTTTCTCCAACGATTGTTATCAACTGAAACCAAATGTTGAGGATAAGTACCATGAGCAGGTAGGAACAAGCGCATAAGTGTGCTGCAGATGTCTAATAATTGTAAATTGTCTCGCTTACCGGAGGTCTAGAGTAGGAAATTGTCACTTACAGAGGTATAGAAGTGAAAAATAACTCTCTCTAAAAGAGGTATACTTACACTGTCACTCATAGAGGTTTTCGGGGCTAAAAGTGACGGGACCTGACTATTTTTGTCGCTTATAGAGTTTTCTCACATATCAAGTTTTCGCTTATCCATGTTCGACTGTATCATCTTTTCTTTGTACCGAAACTCTAAATGTGATGATGAGAAGCAGATTCCCTTCCTGAAGCACCGGCTACTTAACAGTTACGAACTAAACCAAATAGGTACCTTAAAAGTATCTTAAGACGAATAAAAACTAGAAATGTACATCACAATTTTTCTTGAATTAGGTTCAATAACGAAAAGAAAATGAGAAGAATTATTATAAATCTTACACCTAACGCTGGGGGCTCCATGTATACCGTCTAATAGAAAATAGTAAGTCATATGCGCAGATATGTTGGGCAAGGTATAAAAATAGTAAAAAACATATAAAGTAAAATCTACATATATATCCTAATTATCGTACTTTAACGTAAATGCCAAGGCTTTTAAGGATTCAAAGAATGGGGCACATGTAATGACGTATCGTCCTTACCTTATATACGCTCTCACAGATACACACATATTCACACATAGAAAATCTTTCATTTTTTTTAAAACACATTAATTATATGTAGTAGTATTTAACAAAATTACAGCTTTCTGGATAATCACAACAAAATTTCAAAATATTATCTAATTAGTTAATTAATAATTAGTTATTATTTATCGAATATAGAATTCGTCGAATTAATTTTTTTATTAGTTATTATTTATTCTTCTTCTTACCTTAAAATGGTAAACTTGCGACGAACATGTTTTCGATGAGAGGCGGCGCCGGCACGAGATCTTCGAGCTTTAGATAGAAAATCCTTTGAAGTCCTTGCACACTCAGGGACCTTAATTCCGGTAGTTTCCCTAGCAGGCGACTGAAATAGTGAGCCTTACGCTGCGCTTCCGCATTGTAGGTCACGTGATCGCGAAGGGATGAAATTATCTTCATTTGTAGCTGCTCCACTTTGTGCGGTTCTTTCAAACCGTGACGTTCTGTAATAAATGATAATAAAACCAACCCTGTAGATTATTTCATTTTTGTCTTATCTTTTCACTATAAAATACGACGTTCAGTACATAATCTACTCTACACTTGGGTTTTCAATTAAACAGTTAAATAAGAAATGAGCTGTTTGAGTATTTGTAGTGTACTTATTGATACAAAACAAATACTGTTGCACCTGAAGTATTACAGGTAAAAAATAATGCTAATGCAGGAATCATTAACCCCCACCCTCCAGAGAAGAAATCGAACCTACTGAAATTTAGACTTCTTAAACATCATTTTTCATATTTTTTGACATTTGTGTTTTATGTTACTATACTTGGTACTACATTTGGTCGATTTTCTGTTTTGTCCCTATTTCAAGTTTTCAACTTTGAACTTTCCCTATAAACACCACCACAAAATTAACAACAATTACTTTATTTGCTTGTATTATAATGCTATCAGTCTCTTTTCCACATAATCTGTGTATTTCAACAGGATTTCTTAACACTGACTTGATATGACATAGATTACCTTAATTAGCAGGGTTGGCAGTACACGCTATAAGCCCTAATGAGTAGCGAAATAGAGAGACCCCCTCCCTCTCCCTTCGCAATTATTTTTAGCAATGTATAGGTTTGAAATACAGAATTTTTAAAAAAGGGTATTTATCCGGGAATTTTCCACAAGGGTGGTACTACGTATGCTACCGTGCCTTCTCGCCTCCCCTGATAATCACGTGCAACAGTTTGTGCTTTGTATATCCCCATAAAACCGCACAGGCCCCTATTTTCATTTAAGTAAGGCAGAGAGGATGAAATGGGAATGGAGACTTTATATGTAAAATTGCTGCTGATGGGAATGTATTAGCATCCTGATACCGCTGCCTATAATAATATAGGATGTAAATAAAATGTGGAGAAGGTGAGCACAATAGATAATAGATAAAAAGATAATTTTCGGGCGTTTTTCCTCTACGTGTTTTGTGAGATGGTCTTACGTTTCACATTTCAAGGTACTTTTTTTATTGCATTAGGTTACTAGAAATTTGAATTTTTATAGGACAATTAGATGATAGCTCTTAGTATTTTAATTAATTTCAACTTGCCATTCTTGAGAAAAGAGTTTTTAACAACAAATGATGATCCTATACGTACAGTGATTTCGTATTTTTATACGAAATCCTAAAAAATTGAGAACCTCCCATTTTCATCGCCAGTTAAGTATCTTATAATGAAACTTACATTGCGGGATTACTAATTTTATTTGCGTTATCTATTTCTGCCTTACTCTGGTGAATTTAGAGGTTCGTATTGAATAATATTGGCAGTATTAATATGAGTACAATCGAGTGCAAAACTCTGTTACGAGTGTAGGGGTAAGGTGCAGAGTACCACACATTCCTTTAAAGGTGGATATGAGCATTATGATTTCTAAATTGGATCTGTTACTCACCGGTAATAATAGTAAGAGCGCAGAGACAGGCGAAAGCAGAGATGTCGATTTCCATCGAATGAAGGCTGCTACTAAATTCTAATATGGCGCTAAGCCAATCACCGAAAGACCTGTGGCACTGCTGCCTGTGTAGTACGACACCGTTACAGAAGGTTAGTTTGGTGTCATTGGCGTGAGTTCGATACGCCAGACGTAGAACAAACAATTCCAACGATGCCGACTGAAATAGCAGGTCCTTGTCTTCCCTGCACAGATCCTGATATCCCGGTATCTTTTCGGCAAAGTTTCGGATCACGTCCACTGAGGTGGTCAACAGATTATAGAATTGCTGAATCTTTTCAGCTTCTGACACTGTAGGTTCTATGGGACTGGGTTCACAATACTGGGAATAATCCAAATTAGCCAAATCGGGAGTGGTATCGACATGGGCTCTGACCAAGGCAGTAATCAATGACACTGGCGGACTCGGTGGTGATTCTTGTGGAGATTTGGGTTTAGAAGGGAGTCTGCCTCTTCTACCTTTGAGTGAATCCGTTCTAACGACTTCTTTGACCATACCGACCGCTAAGCATTTTTGAAATCGACAAAACTGGCACCTGTTTCTTCTTCTTTTGTCTACGGGACACGCCTTATCCGCTAGGCACACGTACTTCGAACCTTTCTGAACCGTTCTTTTGAAAAAACCTTTACACCCCTCACATGTACGAACACCATAATGTTGACAAGCGGCAGTGTCACCACATACTGCACACAGTTGGGATGGCGAAGGAGGTGTCGGGCCTTTAGTTGTCGTCGGAGCTTCGGAAACTCCACCAGGAGAACTTGCTGCTGAAGAACAGGCCGAAGGTCCAGGTCCAACCAGCCTCAATTTTGGACTCTCGCTACTGCTAGTGGATTCAGACCGTTGGAGAGGAAGGGAGGCTCTTCTGTGTCTGGGACTCAAAGCTGTGCTGACTTGCATCTCAGCCGTGGTGGATTGGAAAGGTGGAAGGGAGTAGGACTCTTGATGGGATGAGATCACGTTTTCGTAACCGCTGCATGTGGGTGGAGGCGGATAATAGGGGGTGCTTGTATAATGTTGAGGTTGGTAGTCGTAATGATGGGAAGGCGGGGTGGCCACATGTGTCGCGGCCTGATGGTAGGAGGTGACATTAAAACAGTCCTCGTCCATCTTATAAGGGGTCGAATAACGTACGGAATAAGTTTCTTGAAAACTGGGAAGCGGCGCTGCAGGCGAAGAAGGTTGTGAAGGAAGATTGACTTCTGAGAATGGATCTAGCTCGTCAGGAGGTAGTACTGCGCTGGGGTCGTCCGAAAATGATGCGGTTAAGAGATCCGCGAAGGTGCTTGAAACGAACGGGGTCTGAAACAGATAGAAAGAGACGCATGAGTCCCGACAATCGCAGAACGATCAACGCGGTCAACTGTTCATTCGCGCGCGCATTTGCATTTGTTCATGAAGGACAAGTGCTTTGATTTTATTTATTAGTACTAAAATTAACAACTGTGCACTCCGTCTAATTAGAGAGCGATATCAAAGCGAGCCAATTACAGCTCGCTATTGCGGATATAGACATACTTATGACAAAGGCTGAATTATGGCCTTGCGAATTAAGTTTCACCTAGTTCTTCGTTTAAGAGGGGTCGTTTGTTGTGTAGAGAGAGAGGCGTGTTCGAAGACGGTCTCCATTGGTCGGACCGTCACCGTGTGCGTCGTTTCTAATCGACGCCGCGACGCCTTATATGGATTCCGCCTACGAAAACTTTATAAAGAAGGGCAAATGTTGGTGGCAGCCATTGAATCCAAGGTGGTGTACCGACGCCACCACTGTTAACGTCGGTGACGCCCGCGACCCGTTACCGTCGGCGTCTACGATTGGTAATGACAACAAACGGAACAAGTTGCAAACGTATGAATAATTAATATTTGAACATACCCAGTCGACTTTGCTGCGAATTTAAATAAGTATCTAAGTGTATATATGTAATATGAACAGGGGCGCACACAGTATTTAAAAGTGGAAGGATTAAGAAAAAATACACAAGTACAAGGTTCCAACGTTGGGTTAAAAATGAGAAGAAAGTTAGATAGAATTACAATATCAGTTGCGAAATATATACAAGCACAAACAAAATAAACGTTAGTTTAAACAAAAGCTTGATTATATAAAAACAAAATTGAGTGCTGTTAGCACAGGGCAAAATAGTGTTACGTAACTGAAAGTTAGTATCAGCAATTTCTTATGCTGAAGTGTACGATGTGTTGCATGCCTATTTACAAACAATTCCTTTAAATTTTAATAATTGGTTAGTACACATCTGTTAAAAAACCATAATGGCCGACATCAGTGACAATGCGACAACAATTGAAAAAGAATGATGGCCGACAACTGCAACAATTAGGAAAAAATGATGGCCGACACTGTCATAGTGGAGCAATACAAATGGCCGGAGGCAGGGGGAAGAACTAAAAGAAGAAAAATTAAAAGTAATTTACAGAAGGACCTCGACGAGTTTAAACAATAAGAAAATATTAAAAGGTTGAGTTTTAGAATTAGAGTTTTTAAATTAAAGTAGTTTACTTAAAATAAGTGAGGTGTCAGTTTAATAACGATATTAAGTCGCAGACATCAATTAGTAAATATATAGCAAAAGTTCGGTTCTGTGATAGAAATTAATGAAAAACCAAATTTGTATTGCCAGGATTTTAGGGTTAGAGTCAAATGCTTTGCAAACAACTCAATTTGATTTAACCTTTTTGGTGTTTCGCATTTTAAGCAAAGGATAAAAAGGATATAGTAAATACATTATCAACATTTAAATTATCGTTTTACTTATATAAATTCCGTTTGCTGGTTTCTGAAAGTGGCCAGAGAGCCATGATAATCATCAGGGGCGCAACAACGTTACAGTTTGACTGGGTGCTCTCATCATAATACTGCAAATATTTATATACTGCGGGGGTGTATGAGCTGAAAAGATCGAGTTCCGCTGCTCATTTACGAGCTTGAACTATTTGAACCATACTTTCAACTTGGGTTATTATCTGAATCGACTGAAATTGACTGGGGGCCCAGCCAATCGAGCGGACCCCCCTTGTTCCGCCCCTGATAGCCATTATTAGGTGCATAATTTATTATTTTGTTATAAGAGAAAACATAAAATCCTGTCAAATTAGCCCCTCAGTCCTTCCTTAGGGTTACGCCACTGTATCTGGGAGTCGTTTGTAAATGCAGTTGCGTGCATATTCTTAATACACACCACGTAATATTATCTCGTTATGTTGTATGCATTTTGCGCATTATATCAACTAACTGCGTGCCTTTACGACGATATTGGCGTGGCTGCTGCTAACCGTCCCTCTAATTGCGTAAACGAATGTCTACGTTCGAAATAGGTATACGCAACGTATCTCATTACTACTAATAATGCAATGAACACGGATACGTATTATACATGACCAATATTGATTCTACATTTCAGTTTCCATAACACTCGGACTAATAATGCTTCTTCTACAATTATTATCTATCTACATCCATGGTTGACTGTTGATGTTTTATATCTGTACATATTTGCATCATTAAATAAGATCTTATAAATTTGCCTTAAACAAACCACTACTTATGTGCTATGAGATGCTTGTAGATTTATAAATTTTACTTCATATCGGGTAAGGTAGTATTGCCTGTTTGGATCCAGTGCCCACCGGATCCGATACCTTTTTAGGATCCGGCAGGGCACCGGATAATGGCGCCGGAAATACGACAATGCCCATTAATTCTCCCAGGGAGAATAAGGAAAAAATGATCATCAGTCTAACAAAAAACCTACTTAATAAAAATTGTATTGGGACATGTCGCTTGTCCCAATTTGTATTATTTATTGATTACCATACATAATTCGGTATTTGCTATATAGTTCGTGTGTTTACCATTTCTCAAGAACAAGAATACCTGCATCGCTATGGTCGAATTGTTACTATTTCTGTCGCTTCTTATAATGACAGATAATGCCGGGTATTCGGTTATACATAGTAAAATCACCATCCGGTTCATTTCTAGTCTTTGACCCACCGAAGCCTACCACTAGCAACAAAGAAGGGGAAGAGTAATTATTACGGTTTTCAGAAAACTTTTCATTCCTTTCTTTGTTTCCATTTTTTTGTCCTGTTTACTAAAAGCATTCACGAACAATTTCTTTTAAGCATGAAACTTTTTTGTGTTGTGAAAATATAGTTATGTTATAGTCGTCTGTTTTTAGTTAGAACGCGTTTTTGGTATTTATTAATTAGTATGCCTTTCTTACAACTAGAATTTATTAATGGTCAAAAATGGATTTCAATTAAAAATGGTCATACTTACAGTGCTCGGTTAAAACATGGGCGGTCCGTGTTCTTTTTTCTACTTGCTTAGGACCTTAAGGTTACGCTAAGGAAAGACAACGCGAATGGAATAACTGCTGTCGTGGTCAACTTTTGGGTGTTTCATTCCCACCAGCCAGTAATGCTGGTGGGCGGGCAGTCCCTCCGGACTACGCCGGAAGGTAGGGCGGAAGGCCCACTTCAGCCTGCTTTCAGGAATCGTAGGAATGGGTGGATGGTGGTTTGGGTGAGAAAGATGAGACGGACGAAATGAATACAAAAGAGAGAATGAAAGATTATCTGTGGAATATTACTGCCTCGGCATTTGCCTAGGTGATCCACGAAAACCACAGAAAAACTTGGACCAAGACAGACGGACCCGAAATCGAACCGGCGTCCTCCCGAATGCTAAGCAATGGTCTAAACCTCTAGGCCATGCCGCTCGGTTGTCGTGGTCAATTTTTTCGTTTTATTTATAGAAATATAGCACCGAGATTTAAATTCGAAACTCTACTGATGATGATGAAGTTTATGGCTTTTAATAAACTTCATCATCATCATAAGGTCGTCAGTCCTAAGACTGGTTGGTGCTTGTCCAACTCCTTCCTATCATTAGATAATTTTAGCATTTCCCTAAAACTAGAACAACCCATATCCTTAACTATTTGCGAACAGTAATCTAATCTAGGTCTAGCTATATTTCTTTTAACTTTTTTTTTGTGCCTCTACTCTAATATGTCTCTGACACTAGCTCTTTGTGCTTGAAAAGGTGTCCTACCAACCTATCTCGGCTATTTCTTATTGACTTCTTGAGTCCTCTGTTCTTAAACTTATTTTTAAAATAATTTAATTAAAAATGCACCTACGTCACTGAAATCAGTATTGTATCTGACGATGAGACTGTTTCGATCAAAGCGTCAAAGAAATCTGTGAGGCTATCACAAGCTAAAATTATTAAAATATTCTATAAGCAAAATTCACAATGCATAATCTAAATAAATTTAATCTTATTCTTTTATTTATTTCGTACCTATATCACTTCTCATTTTTAACTTTATTAGCTTTTAAGATTCGTTTACTTATGGTAAAGCACGGGACATTTTTAAGTGTCCTTATAATGCAACTGATCCTAACTAATTTGATAAATGAGAATGTGGTTTTGTTCATTACAATTTCACGTCTTTACTACTCGACCGATCATCATAAAATTTTGTACACACATTGTCAGGGGTACAAACAAGGGTATTAGGGTACCATTTATTCAGAAAAAATACCATTCCCGAGAAGAAGGATAGAACAATTAGTTTTATATGATTGTCGATAAGTTTTGACACCTAAAATCCAGTAAAAAATAAACTTCGTCGTCCACAAATATACCTTAATTTCCCTTTAAATCCTACTGCTATATTGCGTGACCACCATTAATGCTTTTCGACCGTATTAGATTTCTTCTACCTTAAGGAAGTTGTTTCACGACATTACTAGTAAAAAGTTTATGCTAGAGTGTATCGTACAGTCAGTTAGTAGCCGTGATACCTAAGCCTAAAACTTTTTGCTGTTACTGCACTATTCTCAGCCAATCCCGTACCGCTCTTCATTCGTGTATCCCTTCTAGTACTTGAGTGCGATAAATTGTTCGTTATTTATTAATTAATATCTCAGAAACTGTGTTGTAATAATTAATCAAACTTTTTTCAAACAAGTTATTAGACGTTGTTTAATCTTTCTGTAGTTTTTTAAAACATTTGTAAGAAGGGATTCCAAGTTAACATTGTATTTCTAGTTAGCCTCGCCGGTATCTTGCATAGTACAATGTATAAGAGCCGCAAAAACTCGAACTTTGAAATTAAATATCTCTGAAACTATATTGTCCAATAATTTCAGTCTGCACATATAGGCGAAGAATAACTTAAATTATTCTGTCAAAATTGCAAAAGAATCCTAAGAAAACGCTTTTCATGGAACAACTACCTTAAACGATAAGAGATGAACATTCTGCC